GGCGGTTCTGCCTTCTCCAGACTCTCCATCTTGACACCTCCTTACCACTTCCACTTTCCTCCTTGTCTCCTGGTCCCACCTGTCTTGCTTTCCTATTGGCCAACAGTGCTTTGTTCTTTAAACCAGTATGAGAAACATATATACATAATGGCATCTCCCATCAAGGTTGAGAGACAGAAAAGCTTAAATCGTTTATCTAAAAAAAATGTTTTGAGGTCTAAAAAAGATAGTCTGAAGATAGTAACATAATATGATAGAAAATGGTTTAAATATAAAACTTCAAATTCATGGAGATAAGATAAATAATACAGTGTTTGCTCCAAATATACCAAATACAAATGGACCGGACATTATGAATGCAATTCTTACCTATTAATTATTCTTATTGTTTATAGTTTTATTGTTCAAGTTAAAACCTTTACTTTTTATTTAGACAAGACAAGAATGGGGAAATGTTGTGGACTACTAATCTACACTGAATAAAGAAATGTCACCCTGATTTGTTTTAATAAAGAGCTTAATAGTCAATAGCTAGGCAAGAAAAGAGTAGGCAAGACTTTTAGGGACAGAGAAGACTCAGAGAGGTAAAAAGTTGGGGTCACCAGCCAAATGGAGATGAAGCAGGATGGGGTATACAGAGTAAAAGTAACCAAGCCACATAAATTAAACCAAGCCACATAGATTAAAATATATGTGTTAATTTAAGTTATAAAAATTAGTTAGGAGCAAGCCTAAGCTAAGGATGAGCTTTCATTATAAGTTAATAAGTCTCTGTTGTGACTTAGAGGCTGGTAGTCCAAGAAAGCCTGCTATAATCTATCTTGACTAAAAGGAAAAATATAAATAAATAAATAAAAATACAAATAAAAAACAAATAAAATATGTAAAACACCAGTCACTACATAGAAGATTTTCAAGATTTTTGCTATATCAAATATATTTAAATATTTTTTGCGATCCAGATGTGTCTACAAAAGAAACTTTAGTTATTCACTCCAACGGCACTGAGTTTTCATTTCCTTGATTCTCCTCATAAAGATTTTGTTGGCCAAGTTTTACAGTGGACTAGGTATGTGCCCTTGGACAGACAAGTCACCCAATTTCTGCAGTTCTCCAAATGAGAAATTGGTGGGTGGGGCTGGAAAAGAGATCAAGCAAAAAGAAGGAAGAAGACTATCCTGTCAGGTGACACAGTCTTCACTGAGTTTGCACCCCAGGGGGTGCTGGTCTTTAGCAGAAAGGGCCATGGCTGGTTTGCAGCTCCCAATGCTTACAGATCTCCACATCAAAATGCCACTGACTATACCTGGACACCTGGATTTCAATGAGGAAGAGGCTGTTGCAATATGCAATTGCTTTTTAAGAGATTATTTCAAGATGATTGTGATTTTGCATTAGAAGTCAACTATCTTCTCCATAAAAATTGTTTTTTATACAAGTTAAGATATATCATTTTTGACATTCATTTTGACATTCTAGTCTAGCTGAAACCCGCATAAATATGTAAAGCAAGGTTTTTGAGTAGATGCCCCTTCTCATTCCAGTGTGTTAAGAGGTAGAATGACTTTTGGAAAACAGCAATATAAAATGGTTAGAAAGTAGGAAGATATTTATGGATCAGCCAGGAAAACCTCATGGTTTTAAGTCCAGTTGATTTTAATAGGTAAATAGGGAGACTGGAAATGATGAAAAATAGTTTAGTAGGACCAGCTTTTCTAAATTTGTGAGGCTAAATTTTACTTATTACAGAGATCCTGAGAGTTAAAGTTTAATTCAGAATCCATTTTGTTTTTGTTTTGTTTTTGTATGTGTGTTTGGGATATTTTTTATAAAGAAGTCTTTGAGCAACTTTATTTGAAAGTCTCAGTTATAAAATGAGATGCTTCAGGGCCGGAGAGATGGCTCAACAGTTAAGATCACATATTGCTCTTTCAGAGGATCCCAGTTCAAGTAGAAGTACCCACATTTAAGGGCTGAGAACTAAATATCTATAATCCCAATTCTAGGAAGTCTGACATCTTCTGCCTCTGTGGTCACCTGTACTCACATGGATGTCTACCCCCTACCATACACATACACACAATTAAAAATAAAATCTTTTGTTTTTTCCATAAGAAGTCTCTCCTCACTTTTGAAATGTAAACAAGATTAAACTGTCTAGCCATGCTAAATGTGTTACAATTTTACCATCAATCAAAACTATAAGGTAAGTAGAATGTGTAGGGGAGTGTGCTGGTTAACCTTGGCTGTCAGCTTGCAGGAAGACAGACAGCTAGGTGTGTGCCTGACAGGGACTGTGCTAACTAAGATTTGAAGACCCATCCTAAATGTGGGTGCTTCCATGAGCTGGGACCCTGTGCAGAATAAACAGGAGAAATCCAGCTGATCAGGGCTAGTCATACTAGTCATAGTGCTTTACTTCCTGACTCGGGACATCATGTGACCAGCCGCCAGAAGTTAACTCTTGCAGTTCTTTTTTGTCAGGTGCCTGGTCACAGCAATGACAGAAGTAGCTAATATATGGAAGAATACCACATTGACTTTTTAAAACATAATCCAAGGTTTATTGGGATGTAGCAATGGCATACCGAATACCAGTTATTCTGGACACTCCTGTAGAAGGCATTTTTCACAGTTAAGCACCAGGAGATACAATTCAGTCTGAGAATGGTCCTCTGCAAATGCTCTTAAAGAAACAGTTGAGCTGTTGGTACCTAATACCTAGCGTTTCCCAATATCTTTTATAGACATATTTAGGCAAGATGCCAGTGTCGAGGCAGCCATGCTGAGGCCATGAGGCAACAAATAGGAAGATGAAGGCCCAGAATGCAGCTCATTGGTACAGGATTCTTTAACACATGCACAGCTGAGTTTGATGCCAAACACCACAAAACCAAACCAAAACAAACAGGAAGATGAAAGCCATGGGCTAAAAATGGTCAAGAGGAAGAAAACTGAGCTCATGGTAGTAAGGATTAGGGGCTTCCTGGACTGACTCTGAAGTCCTCTCTCCAGATGATTGCATCACAATGGAAAACCATAGCTCCTGTAATTAGGCAGATGAATACCATGTTATATCTGAGGTGTGGTCAAACGTATGCTGCCTCCATCTAATAGGAGTACCTTTCCTTTAAACACTGCAAGAACAAGTATTACAACTAAACAAGTATTACAGAAGAGTTCATTTGCATAGTCAAGTATTAAATTGACATATCAATGAATAGTTTTATAGACAGTTTAATATTATTCTCCAAAGAACCCTACCAAACCACAGTACATGAAGCTCCATGTACATTAAACCACTGTGAACCTTATTCATCCTATTATTTATTCATTCAATGAGGGCCAGTAAGCACTGTCCTAGTGACAGAGACATGAGGGTGAAAATCACAGTCCCTGGCTACAAGAGGTTTAGTGTTTTTCAAAAGATGTAAGACACATGGGGGAGGGCCTAGGCCCTGCTCCAAACGATATAACAGACTTTGAAGATCACCCATAGAAGACCTCACCCTCCCTGAGGAGCAGAAAGGGGATGGGATGGGGCTTAGGGGGGGGCAGGGAGGAAGGGAGGGTGAGAACTGGAATTGACAGTTAAAACAAGCTTGTTTCACTTTTAAATTTAAAAAAAACTATAAAACAAAAAGATGTAAGACAAAACTTTTTAAAATGACATGTATTTTCCTGACCCTTGCTCCCTATGCTGTTTATTCCCTGGTTGGTCATCAACGCTTCAAAGTACGGAGAAGCCTATTACATAATCCACATCAACACAGTTTTATTACTTAATATTCAGAATACAACTTTAGACTTTGAAAATGTAACTCAATATTATGCCAATATGTTCTTTATTGTTCTAAGGCAGGGGTGGGGATCAGAAAATGTCTCGTTCGATCTGCTACAGAATTTGTTTTCCCAAAATCTAGACTATTGTAAGAAAAAGCAAGTAGTATTTAGTGACATTATAGTTTGTCTTAGAAAAAAAATAAATCTCTGTAAATCCAGCCCATGTTCTAGTATCCAACAAACAAACATGTTTTATTATACTATGGTAGCAAAATTCCAGGTGAATTTGAGGAAAATCATGTTCTATTCACCTCTTCTGTATCAGCTTGGACACATCTACTGTCTTCTAACAGCAATTCCCTTACTCATTAGGAGATAGGAGGAATTAGATCCCTGTGTTCTTTCCTAGACCTACATTCTCTCATTTCCTCACTCTGGTCTTAATGTGGTAAATTAGCAGCAAACGCCTAGCTAAGAACAGAACACTGTGGTTATTTTTAAGTAGCACTTGGCTGCTTCTCTATTTCAGTTGCCTCAGAAACTAGAAAGCTTAATCTACATTCCATGTAAAACCATGATTTCACATATAATTAAATAATATGATGTCATCAGATGCTGATATGATATCATCATACTCAGAATCAGGATGGAAGACTGGATTTACTGTTTGTCGGTCGGTAGGATGTAACATATATTAGATACACTTGGTACCTCATTGGTAATTAGGTAGTGTATGTATTTCTTTAATCTTCTGTTTAAAATACTCTCTTGGGTATCAAGAAGTGAGTCTAAAAAAGATCATCTAAAAAAAATAAGAACAAAAATGATAAAATAAAACAAGAAATCCCTTGATGCATTCATAGAAATTGCTTTCAAAGTCTTAAAAAAATGATTCACTATATGCAAAATGCTATGAGAAAATTCATAACCTGTTTTTCAGTATAGACAGTAAAATTAATTATGCAATCTGACATTTGTCTGCGAACCACAGACATGTGTACCTGTTCTCTGGTGAACATCAGCAGTTACAATTAACTAAACAGTTTAACCCAGCACAGTATCAATTTGACCTAGAAGAGTAATTCTACTATCATCTTGCTTACAAAAAAAATGTGTTTAAAGTATAAGAGCACTTTACAAATCTTTAGGTTATTACTCTGCAAAACAACCTACATCACCAACCCTTATTTCATATCTCTGTATCCCTCTTTACTCACCACAATGAGTTAAAGGCAGACGAAAGCTCTCAGCAGCATCCTCTGCGTTATCACACTGCTTTGCAGTCCCTTTCACTCCAGATGCGATGGTTCAGAAGTTCACAGAAGGCAATTCCTCCTCTCGGGTTGACTGCACACTCCAAGAGAGGTACCTCTCACTTGCTGGAAGATTTAGCTTTCATGCCTCTGGCCATTGTTTTTCCCACCCACAAAATGCGACCTATTCATAACTCTCCTTCCAAAACATTTCAAAAAAGAAAAGCAAGACAGGGTTCATGATTTCCATGCAAAATCCTAGCCTGCCCGCCTGCTTGCTGCTGCCAATACTCCTTATTCTTGCTGGTGATGACATCGTACAAGCTCCCCAGCACTGATGCTTCATTATGTAAGTCTGTCTAGGTCAAGTGTAGGAGAGTCACTACTGGCCTGTGGAAACTAATGGAACTGTTTCTTCAGATTAACACTTCAGGGGCTATGGAGGCTACAGGAAGCTGAGCTTTAACTACATACATCTTTTGGGGTAAATATATATATTTTTTGCATGATTCAGTGATCTTTTTTTTTTTTTTTTTTTTTTTTTTTTTTAATTCTTTGGTCCTGGCAGGTTCCTGTCAGCCAGGCTGAGAGGTGAAGATAGGCATTACTAAGAGGCTTCAGTTCTCTCAGCATGCTTAAATAAGTACTGGACGTCTTGCATTGATCCTAGCATTAAGACATCAGTAAAATGTCATAAATTGAAATTTGCTAATCAAGCAAGTATTCTATGGTGTTGATTTGATGTTTAAACCTAATATGATCTGTTTATTCTGAGGCATTGCAGGGGAACATTGTTAGATATTGCTATGAGCTCAAAAAAGATTTACTGCAGGTCTTAGCTGCCGTGTTGCCCTTGTCTCTAACTGTGAATTCTCTTGTCTTAGAAATGAGCTCTATGTATGCTGCACTTGCCTTCTGTCATGCCTGTTTGTGACAAGCATGGAGCTTGAGTAACCTGGTGCTTAGGGGACTTCCGGAGATAATAAATCCTGCCTACTTAGTCTCAAGATGAATACTGCAACAGTATGAGTGTCATTTGATACTAGCACTGAATGAAGCTGGGTTAACTGCCTTGGGTCAGAAGGGGCTGTGCTTAGGGGATCTGGAGGGACAAGCACTGGTGAACAGTTTATTCATCTAAGAATATAAGTGAAAACAGAATAGCACTGATTATGTTTCAGATTCTCTTACACTGTGTCCTGCTGCAGGAAGTAGTTAAAACAGCAGCCACAGACTGCATGCTGCAGAAAATGCAGGACAAGTAGCAGGGAGAGACTGCTGGAATGGTGTGAGATTGGCACAGAATTTTCATACAGTTTAACCAGAGATGATGACACAACAGAGTGCATCTCCTTTTATAAGATAGATGGATTTTAAAAGTTGGACGTAAACTCAGCACGTTTGAGGGTTTGGCTTCCTATGTGTCCTTGACCAGAAACATTCTGTGATTTGGACTCCATGGTAGGAGCTAAGGAAATGATGGCTCTGTAAACTGAGGAGAAAGTTGACTCATCTTTGCTCATGTGCCTCCAAGCGAGTGCTGGTGTAAGGAGGGCTAAACTACAGCATATTCTCTGTGTAGACTTCTGAAAACTGTCCAAAATATTGTGCAATGTTGACTTAAAAGAATGAAAATGGATGTTATAGAGATTAATTTCCCTGGGTGTCATTTTTCATACTGCTAACCATGATTAACAGGGGTGTGTTGATCACTTATGGTAGAAATATGCTGAATTTGTGCTGTATTTAATTGATTAGAGATGTATACATTTTCCTAATTCATTTGAAGACACAGTTACAGCTCCCTAAAGGCCTGATTTTTATATTATCAGTGTCAGTAGATGCAGCTTGGCACAGGAGTCATCTGATCGAGGTTACTTGGGCATAAAAATAAAATGTTAAAAATAAGGAAATCATACATAATCATATCCATACATCTAGAATATAAATGTATGTATATGCATATATACACATTTCAGGTGTCCCTGTCATCCTCAAATTGAATTTGGTTTTGCTTTAATATTGTCTCCATTGGCTACTAAATAAGGGATATTTTTCCTCTGTGTAAGAACTTAAACATATACTGATTTCTTTCTTTTCAGATGTTTTGGAATTTGAATTAAATTAGGTCTAAATTCATTTTGGTCCTGCCACTTATATGACTATATTCTTCTGTGTGAATTAACATTAATCATTCTGTCTTAAAACAAGATTACATGAGGGGTGAAATTTTAGTTTTCAGTACCTACAGTTTGGAGACAGCATTTGCCATTTCCCCATCAAATGCTAGGCCAGTGATTCTCAGTGGTCTGGCTAGCAACATAAGCATCTCCATGAAACATGTAGGGATACAGATCTTCAGTCCTCATAGTAAACATAGAGTAGAACTTTTCTATGTAAGTTCTAACAATACAGGCAGCTGTGAAATGCATGAGGATCCACTACATTGGACTGTAATTTGATCAAATACAAAAATGGGTTTTTATATTATAACTAAATATATATTACATATTTAAATTTTCTGTTCTCGTCCTTGCCTGGTTATCCTAATGTTAACCATACTATATTTTAAAGATTTGTGAAATTATGTACTATATCTAAAATCCAGTGTGTTCACCAGAATATTTTTTTCCAGCAGTTCCATATAGAATGCTAGCTCTCAGGGGCTAAATGACATGATGGAAATACACTAGAGGTCTTATCTCTCCTATTTGCTCAGTGTGACTTGGTACACACCAGTGGCCTCTTTGATGCTTAATTTCTCTCTGTAAAGTAAGTGGTTGTTCTAAGATAAGATTTAGTCTTGGCCTAATTGAATTTGGGGGCCATAAATTCCTAGCAATGGGTCTATCTTTTGCCCAGCAGAGTACTGAATGATATCACTGGCCTCTACTTGCAAATAATGGAAGCAACTTCCCACTGTGATGAGCAGATACACTGATAGAGACTAACAAATGTCTCCCAAAGACAAAACATCCCAACTTGAGTACCACCAATTCAGGTCATCTTCCCTTTGAGCATTATATTATATCAAATAAGACCAAAAAAAATGTATGCCCACATATGTAATACAGGAAATTTAGGCATGATCATATTCACAAAAGTGAATTCAGTCAGGAACCTACAGACTGTGGAAATCCAGACTCTACACAACTTCTCAGGAACTAGTCTGCACCATCCTCTGCCCCAAAGTCTGGTTTTGTGTTCCTCCCTGCTCTCCCAGATGAACCAGACTCCCTCTACTACTAGATTCAAATGAGTATTTAGCTAAGTCAGTGGCTTATAGATTTAATAGATTTCACTAAAGATGGGGATTTATAGTCCTTTGTTCTACTCCTCTTAGCCCTGCTTTCCCTGCTGTCCCTGGGACATCCAAGAGTTTCATATTTTCTTCACGTACTATGCACGGTAGTCCATTTTTCCCTAGTTTTTTTATTTTCAGTCCAGATGTTGATACACAAACTCATTAAAATAAAAAAACTCAGGAGATCAAAGATTTTCAGTTTGGGACTATGCTGCCTGTTGTGTGATATTTAAAATGTCATTAATTTGCTTTGTGATGCTCCCAAGACTGACAATAAAGTTTTTTTTCTTTTAATTAGAGGGTGGAGCTTTCTACTGGCTGTCCAAAGTTAACCATAGAGGTTTCAGAGGATTGAGGCCACAAAGGGACACAGGAAGTCGTAGGATGGGGCTTAAAGAGGGCCTTGACCCTTTGGGATCAAGAAAAGAGAGAGGTGGTGTGGTCACTGGTTGCTTCTCTGATTATTCAGGTTCTTACCCTGATATCAGATTCCTGGGTTTTTATTGGCAAAGAGTAATTAGGTAAATGCTTCATTGGCTGTCCAATATAGAGCATCAAAAGTACCAGCATTTTCTTTTGGGGCCACCAATAAGCTCCCAAATCATGGCACAGGGACTTATTATTAGTTTTGAATGCTCAGCCTAGCTTAGGCACATTTCTGACTAGCTCTTTTAACGTCAATTAATTATTTCTATGTACCTTTTGCCTCCAAGCTTTTTACCTTTTCTTTCTTGCTTGCTGTTTCTGCATCTTCACAGCTGATGGCTTCCTGGCTTCTGGCTCCTGGTGTCTCCCTCCTTCTTCTCTCTTTCCCCTTCTTCAAACCTATATTTCTCCTATTTATTCTTTTGGCCTGTCAGCCTCACCTATCCCTCTTCTATCTTGCTATTGGCTGTTCAGTTCTTTATTAGACCAATCAGGTACCTTAGGAAGAAGCAAGGTGAAACAGGTACTACACATCTTTACATAGTTAAATAAATGCAGCATAAACAAAAGTAGCATACCTTTACACAGCTAAAGTAATATTTTGCAGCATTAACAAATGTAACACATCTTTGCGTAGCTAAAATGATATTCCACAACTCTACGCACAAAGATATAGATGGTATTTAGGGTCACAATGACTATGTGATGTCACAGAGCTGGAAAGAATGTGGAAATCAAGTTTATCTTTGAATCTAAGTTATGCTGAATCTCATGATCTTTCAAATTGTACATGGTCTATGTGAGAGCCTCTGAAAGTCATGTGAAATCTTCCCAGGGATTGAGATCTTAAACAACTCAGCAATGCAGCCTAGACATTTTCTGGAATCAATGTGTGTGTGGTAGAAATATACTAACTCTACAAAAACACAAACTTATGCATGCATACATATGTATACATAAGCATACCCACTCACAAACATATGCATGGGCACACATACCCTTTCCACTTGTACAAATTCTTATTTAGTATCCTGTTCTACAAGTTTATTCAGGAATCTAGTATAAGATGTATGGAGCTATAACTCCATTAAGCAAATTATTAACTGGTAGTTGTAATATTTTATCCACATTTCTAAATAAATCCACACATCACATGTTCTGAGCCCCTCAGACATACGATAAGGTGGGTTTTCTTTATGCTATCATTTTTGAGAAGGAAAGAAAATAAAATCAAGACCTCTAGGTACCAAATCCACTTCTCTTTCTTCTGTTCTACAGAACAAGACACAGTGTGTATGCTTTCAATCACCACATGATTCAGGAATTCTGAGACTACACCTAAAGACATTTGAAATTGCTACTTAAAAGTGATTTTTGCATGGCTACTTCATTGTTTTTCACAGCAACTACACTATGAGACAGCTTAAGTATTTGTCCACTGGAGCTTGGCAGGGCAAGTGCCTGGAGGCCAACTCATGCCACCTTTCTTAGGCATGGTTCTGGAAATCTGACTTTCTCTAATAAAGTGACACTGTAATTTTTCCTGATATTTTTTATATCAAATGAAATCAAAAGTACAGCTGATAAAATTCTATTGAAACTGTTTCATTTGGCAACATGTGAGAAGCAGAACAGGTATCAATCTTCCATTCAATATTTCTGAAAAAATAGTATCACGGTGTTGGAATAGAAGATAGCAATAACAGTAAATGTGCTCTAGTTTCAAATGTCCACATTCTGGTGATACTGTTAGAAA